CGCCCGCTTGGGAGGCTGATGGCACGCCATTAGGAACACGCGGTGGCCCGCACAAGCACGCGTGCACACGCGCACGGAGAGGCTGATGGCACGCCATTAGGAACACGCGGTGGCCCGCACAAGCACGCGCGCCCGCGCACGGAGAGGCTGATGGCACGCCATTAGGAACACGCGGTGGCCCGCACAAGCACGCGCGCCCGCGCACGGAGAGGCTGGTAATGACACTGGGGTTTGGATGGATACAGTCACAGCCCAAGATCAATATGAGAATTCCTGAGTTACAAGAATGAAATATATTTTTCATTGATTTGTTGTTTTAAACCATTAAAAAGATGGGTAAGCGTGTTAGAGCGGGGTAAATACTCGGGGCACTGAAAAAACACCACCATTTCACACTGCGGTAGAAAATCAATCTCGCCGACGTACTTTCCAAGTGAGGCCGGAGAGCAGGCGCGCGGCTTTCAGGGGAACTTTCAGGGGAGGCTGGAAGGGAGGGCCCGCGGCCCCGGCACCGCCCGGCGTCGGACTCGGTGCAGACTCACTACCATGGTTGCTTTAGGAAGAATCATGGAAATGCCCAAATCTCCTTTTTCGTTTAAATTGATGAGTGGCACCATCCGCCCGGAGCATTAAGGCAGGCGGGGCGGACGGATCAATCCAGGAGAGGAGGCGAGGCGGCCCCGCAGCCAGCCTCCGCCTGACACTATTGATTTTGCCCAGTTCAGCTGGCCTTGTAATTAAAATGTAAATTTGAGAAAGAGATTGCGTCCTGACAGACGCAGGATTAAGGGGAAGATAAAAGCCCCTCCGCGAAAACTCCGAGGAAATGTGAGCTCCGTGTCCTGGGCTGGCTCCGGCGGACCAGGAACAGCCGCAGGCCCCGGGCTCACTGAGCAGTGCCGGGTGCAGACCACGGGGGGGCTGACTGCAGCGTGCCGAGGCCCCGCGCCGAGCGCCCCTCAGGACCGTGGCCCATCGGCGGGCCCAGATCCCACCCCGAGGCCCCATGCAACGCCCCTCCGCCACTCACCGTCCTCAGGCCACAGGTGCTCAGGGACACAGGCCTCGTACCCCTCCTTCTCCGGGACCTCCACAAAGTCGCCATCATCCTCGTCCTCGTCTCCCAGGGCCGCTGTCTGTGGGACACCCCAAGGCTGAGTGGGAGGAGCAGGCAGAGGTGGAGGTGCCGGGCCCCAGCTGGGGTCAGCGTTGTGGCTGTGCTCACTGACCTGTCTCCAAGCCCACCCCCTCGCTCCTAAAACCACCAGCTCGGTGCACCCCCCCCCCCCAGTGCCCAGTTCAAACCCCAACACGCACCTGCCGGCACCTCGGAGCCCCACAGAGCAGGTCTCACCCTCAAAGGCAAGGCCCAGGGCGGTGACAGCCCAGCTCGGCTCGGCTCGGCCACAGCGCCACGCCCTGTTCTGGGCCAGCTCCTCACTGGGGCCTCCGGTGCTGCTGTGACCACAGCACTTCTGGAACATTCCGTCCTTAACGATGCTAAAAGCCACCACAGGAAGTTTCCTTTGGACGCGAGGCCCCGCCCAGGTCAGTGTGATGGGTCCTCGCCCTCCGCGGCTCAGTGGGAACGACAGGCCCTGCGCACGAAGGGCGGGTCCTCCTAGAGGAGCTCCCACACGGGCGACCAGGGCCACGCACACGCCAATCAACGTGCAGGGCCACGCACACGCCAATCAACGTGCAGGGCCACGCACACGCCAATCAACGTGCAGGGCCACGCACTCTGGGGGCAGGCGTCCTGGCCAGAACCTTATGAAGCCCAGGACTGCTCAGCCCCCCATCCCAGGGGAGCCACGCCCCTCAGACGTCCTTCCTGAGAGGGAGAGGACCACAGCAAGAGGCACCCAGAAACCCCGCCCACGACCCCGCCCCCCCCTGCCTTCGGGCCAGGCCCCCTGAGGAAAGGCAGCAGGAAGGAGACAGACCCTGTCCCATGAGCACCAGCGACGGGCTGGTCAGGCTCAGGGGCAAACGCAGGTTCAGGACCATCGGACACAGGCCCCGACACAACACTGGCCACAGGGGGCGGCGCGTGGCCCCACGGCCAAGTCCGGGCCGAGGCACCCTGGGCTGCAGGCGGTACCTGGTTCCGCAGCCCAGAGGCATAATCAGATGCAAATGCACTTGGTTTGGGTTCCGGCAGCCCTGCCTGGAGTGCGGAGACATCCATCACTGGAAACGGCAATTTCTGTTATCAGCCTAACACTGATCAAAGGGAAGCCTGTCTCCGCCGCTGACCTGTGAAACGTCCCAATTATACTCTTTGGAAATGACAGGGGCACTTAACTCCCGAGCTGAGCAAATGACGACAATCAATCACGTTTGAATAACAATGAGCCGCGGACCTGAAAATTATTTTTGTATAGAATCTCCCCGGAATTTATGAAAGGGAAAGCAGCCCAAGGTTCGAGGGCATGACGGCTCCCAGCCTCATAGTGCGCACCCAACACTAAACAGAATTTATGTGTTTTAATTTCCTAAAAGGTAGATGTGGACCGACCGGGTGCTACAATGCAGAACGCAGATGCCACGTTTTAAATATGGGGGTCATTTTCATAAAAGATTGTGCTTATTGCTCCCACCCTCGAATTTCACCAGGGACTTGTGTTAAATTTTCACTTTCTAAAACATATCCAGCTGCTGAGCTAACGAGCAGGAACACACACCTTCACTCCACTCCTTAAACACGGAGCGTGGCCTCCGCTCCCGAGTCCGGGACAGGCTGGGGCGAGGGCCTGTGAGAACTGCCTCCGGAGGTGCCAGCAGGGCCACCCTCAGCGCTGGGTCACAGCTCACTGCAGCCGAGAGCAGCCTCCGGCCAACACCACCCTCAGCTCGACAGCTCCCACTGCCGTGTCAGGTCCCAGGGGAGCTCAACAGGCCCAGGGAGTCTGCACGGGGCTCCAGGCAACTGTGCGCCCAGGCAGGTGGGGAAGGCACTGCTGCCCCGCCCTCCGTGGCCTCCGCGTGCGTGGCCTGCCCGTGGGCCTCCCACCAAGCACCTGTTCCAAGAAGCACCGCCCCCCAGGCTGCCACTCCTCCCACAACCTTGGACCCAGCACAGCTGGCCACGGAGGCCTGCACCTGAGCTCCTGGGGCCAGCCCCGAGGTTCAAGGCAGCAGCAACAACCTCCCCACGTGGTCAAAGGTCATGGATGGGGTCAGAAGCCTGCACTGAGAGGCGGTGGGGGAGGCGCTGGGGGCAGAGCAGGGGCCAGGATGCCCGAGGACTCTGGGAGGAGGTCACGCCCTGAGGTGGCCTCAGCTGAAGGCAGGCCATTGGGCTTTTCTTGTCAGTGTCCCCGGAGCAGCTTCAGATCTCGACCTGACCTGGCTCCTCGTCTGGGACTCGTGAAGGTCACGCCGGCCACGTGCTCACCCCTAACAGGTGAGGGCCCTGCAGGTGGTCAGTCCTGCAGCCACCGGACTCCTCCTGGGCTTTTCTAAGCTTTCAGACGATCAGCCCGCCCGCAGCCAGGGAGGCCTGGAGGAGGCCATGGCCTCGCTGGTTCTATACGAACGGATTCTTCACCCACAGTTAAAAGGATCTAGAAAAATGAGCCTCCACAATCATAATTAAACAAGCAATAAAACGGCTAAAATATACAACGCAATCAGTTTGCAGAAGTGAGGTAGCGAGGTTACTAATTACCGGAGAGGGGATGGGATGCGCGCCTCGCGCCAGGGCAGCCCGCCCACCAGGCCCGCCCGAGATACAGCTGGGACCATTAAATAAATTCTGTGCGATCTAATTAACTCGGTGCGCAATCTCAATTACTTTTCACCCAAGAAATCACTTCTGTTCAGTTTATGTGTGTTTCCCTTTTAAAAAAAAAATGATGTAAGGCCTCGTCAGACAAGTGAGCTCCCACCTGCATTTGTCTCTCAGCCTTGATGGCTATGCATTTAAAACCCCATTCTATCTTATAAACTAAAAATTAAACGTGCTCAGCTGTGATGGCCGTCATCCGGCGGCTATTTATATGCTAATGCCCTCCCAGAAGGCCGTGCAAATTGCCCAGCCAGGCCGCTATCTCAGCAGCATCAGAGAGCAGAGGACACGGGCAGCGGGCTGGCCGTGTGAGCGCACGGACCCCACAGCCTGCGTGGCCCAGCCCTGAGCTGGGGACAGGAGCCGCCCGTCCTCGAAGGGCTGTCCCTTCCCTCTCTGGCCTGATGGCTCGCAGGAGTGAGCGGCATGCAGCCTGCGTGGGGCTGCTCCCGTGGCCCGGCCCGTTGCTGGGGTAGGAGGGTGCTGAGCCTGGAGGTCCATCTCGGGGGTGAGGCTGGGGTCCAGCTCTGCTGGGTCTGGGCAAATGGGCAGCGGGCAGGCAGGTAAGGGCGCATGCGTGAACCTCAGCAGAGGCAGCCAGGGGACAGGCCGGGCGCCCACGCCAGGCTTTGGTCCAATGGACAGCCCTCTCCTCCAGCGACCACAGGTGCGCCATGGAGGCCGCAGCCGTCAAGAGTGCGCAGGGCACAGAGCCTTCCCCCTGAGCTCCTGCACCTGACGAGACCTCGCTTCCTGGCTGGGGAGGTGCTTCCAGCATGGAGAGGAAGCTCGATGAGGAGTCCTGCTCTCTGGCTCGGCCTGGCCTCCCAGAGCTCGGGAGGCAGGACTCCCGCCCTGTGACACTGTGGGTGGCACCCTCCCTGGGTGGCTCAGCCTTGGGAGGAAGACAAGGCTCACACAACTGCCCGACTCAGTCTTCCCACCTGTAAAATGGGCGATAGCATAACCCCTGGGGGAGCTGCCTTTGGAGTTAGAGGAACAACATGTGAAGGTGGCTGGCGCACAGGGCTGGCAGGGCCGTTGGGAAGGCGAGCTGATGCAGGTGTTTGCAGGGGGGAGGTGGGGGGGAGGGGGCGCTGGGGCGGGAGAGGCCTGGCTGAGATGCTCCTCAGTCCTCAGGAGATCAGCATGCAGACCCTCCCTGCTCTCAGCCCCTCGAGGCAGCGGCTTGGCCTTCAGCGTGATGGAGGGGCCACGTCACAGGAAGGTTGTTTACTGGCCCTGCCGAGTACAAGGTCCCCACGTCACTGATTTAGTTCCTCTGCCTCTCTGGGAGCCTGACACGTCCAACATTTCATTCCCTGCGTCTCCTGCTCTGTCCTTTTCACCTACAGGAGGCCAGGCCCACAGGCCCACACAGAGCGGCCTGCCTCACTCCACAGTGGCCCAGACCCAGGAGCCCTCCCGTGGCTGAGCGGGGGACCGCCATTAGACCATGCAGCTGCCAGAGCCTGGCCACGGGGGGCAACAGGGCGTCCGTGTGGGCTTTAGCCAATGTCATTTTAAACCCCCACTGCGGGTAGTTTAAATAGACTGGCACTTAAAATTATTTTTTTCTGACTTATTGGTGAGGGGAAATTACTATTTTGTTAATTACACAACAGTAAGGAATTGGTGATCTTAGCTCCATAATTAAGTTTCCAGAGGATGTTTATCAGCGTAACGGATGCAGCCTGTGATCGTGCCGCTGCCGAGCTGCCGGCTGGAGACTAAATCTCCCAGGGCTGCTGCCTATCGATCGGGGCGAGATTTATCCCGGCCGTTCCCCAGCGTAGGCGGCGAGGCCTCTATAAAGCACAGTTAGACCCATTTAAACCGGCTTAAATATTTCCTAAAGACAGAACATCTACATCAAAAGGAAAACAATATGTAGGAACCAGTGGCTACGAGGACAGAAACAGGAAATCAAAAGAAAAAGGAGCCCCCCCCACCGCCCCCCAGTGCAGCTGCGGGAGGAGAGGCCCCGCGGCCGGACCTTGGAGAGCCAGGCTCCCCTCCCGTGTCTGGGACCGGGACCCTCTCACACACTGACCAGTTCTCAGATGTTAGGTCACTTACTGAACCAGCACCCCACTCAGCCAGGCCCGGGCTAAGTGGGGAGGCACCGAGGCCAGGGATTTAACCCCAGGCATCTTACAGGATAGCCAGCCAAGAACAACGCGATCCTAATTTCTAACCACCAGCCCGCAGGCGGCCGCCCTGCGCAGAACAGAACGGGAGCAGATGGACAGATACCGCGGCGTCTATTCTGGGAACGCGCTCACCTGAGCCGGGCGCTGCCACTCAGCCCGCGCCCAATCGCTCCATCTGCAGCCCCAGGAATGAGCTCTGTCTCCAAGGACTTGAGCGCCGGCCTCTACATCAGCTCCTGGAGCCGCCTCGTCTCCGCGCCACCCGCCCCACTCCTTCCGTGACAGGCAGAGGCGAGGCAGAGACGCGCCTCCCGCCTGCTCCCCGCACTCAATCAGACCCCTGCCCGCACCGCCCTGCGCAGCACGCACAGCGCCCGCCTCCGTTTACCCTGTTGTCCTGCGTCAGCGGACACACCCGGCCCCCGGTCAGCCCCCGCCAGGCCAGGCCCTCCAGCCTTCAGAATGGGCGGTGGCATCTCCTCAGCCAATGGCTTCCCACTCCCCGAGCCGCTCCTGCCACAAGCAGCCTGGAGCCGCCCCCCTGACGACCAGGGTGGACACTGACCCTCCACCCACACAGCATCCGCAGACGCCCGGGCAGCACGCAGGCCTCTGCAGTGAGAGGTGCGAGTCCCTGTGAGCTCGGAGGGTGGAGGTGCTGACAGGCCTCTGCAAGCAACTCATGGCTCACAGCCACACCAGCAGCCACAGGCTCACCGCAGCCCTGCAGCGTCCGCTGTGAGCTTCCCTGACAGACAAGATCGCCCTCTGCTGGTCCCAGGGGGCTGCACACTCCACAAAGTTGAGGCCCAGCTGCTCAGAAACTCACCTGGAAGTCACAGGCCCCCACTCCCTGTCCCAGCCCCTCTACCTCCTCATCCTCAACTCCAGGGCCTGGTGAGGAAGAAACCGAATGCACCAGAGCCCAGCCTCTCTGCTTAGAGGGCTGAGCGAGGGCCAGAGACTCTGCCGCCCCCCAGCCCTCACCCCACTCACCTCCCTCGTGCGAGGCCCCTCAGGCTCAATGTCCAGCTCCTGGGATCTCCGCAGGGCGGTTTCCAGCTCAGCCTTCAAGTCGATGGCGGCCTCCAAGTGCTGGCCACGGGTACCTGCGCGGGTGAACAGCTGCCGGCAAGGGGGCGCGTCACCCGGCAGGCTGGGCACCCTCCCCTGCACGCCCCGCAGGCACGACCAGGCGCGCAGCCTCACCTGGACCCAGGTGCGCACAGCCGGCAGGAACTTGTTCTGGATGAGCTTGAGCGCGTCCCGGGCCGACTGGATGACCGCGCAGTTGTCCTCGTCCTCCTGCACCCTGAGGCTGCCTGCAGGGGGAGCAGGGGTCACCAGGGGGACCAGGGCCCGGGCAGGTCACCGGCACCTCCGCCCATCCCACTTCCGTCACAGATCCCCTGGGACCCCAACCTGACGCCCAAATCTGCTGCTTCATGATTTTGGCAAAGACCAGGTCACCTGACCTGATGCTCCCTCCCCTGGACCCGAGACCTCTACGGCTTCCCACGGACAGACAGGCCGGCCGTCCACCGCCGCCCCCACTGCCTCAGGATGAAGGCCGGCTCCTCCCTGTGCCCAGCCCATCCAGCTGCCACTCCCAGCTCCCACCCGCTGCCAGCTCCCTGCCCCCGGGCACAGGTGGGCAGTTCCTTGGGGCTCGCCAGGCTCTGGGTGAGGGTGTGTGTGTGAGGACTTCCTGCGGCTCCAGCAGGGCTGCCTCCTCCCAAGAACACATCTGAAGGGCAACCCCACTCACACCCACAGGGACGGACGTCGGGGCCTATGAGGAAGCTCGGCGGGAGGGGGGGCGGGTATCTGGGGTGAAGCCGCGAGGCTGGGACACCAGGGCCCCGGGGGCTCCGAGAGGCACCACCTGTATCTTTGCAGACACAGTGAGAAGCCGCTTCTCCATCTCGTTTTTCTCCCAGGCCCGGGCGGCCACCCCGTGACCCCGATGGACTGGGCAGCAACCATGGCCACCACGAGGGCGCAGGGCAGGCCTTGGGACCCACAGCCTAACCCCACCCTGGGGGCCGTACCCTGCTCTCAGCCCCAACAAGTCTGGGCTGTCGGAAGTGGCTGAGGGCCCTGGCCAGAGGCCTGGTTCAGGCCGCCACCTGGGCTGCGGCCACGAGGGAGCCCCGAGCAGCGGCAGGAGCGGGTACCTGAGGAGAGCTCCACGTCCAGCGTGTACTTGTGGGAGCCCAGCCCATGGCTCCGCACAAAGTCCTCCTGGTCGCTGTCCTCGCCTTCCTCCTCGTCCTCCGAGGAGGCCCCCGTGGTGGCCACTGGGCGGCGCACACAGGCAGGCAGGCTCTTGCTGCAGCAGGGCTGCTCCTCGTCCCCGAGGTCCGGGGCACTGGCCAGGCGAGGGGGGCCCTCCTCGGGCGCCCCAGAGGCCACAGCAGGCGCGACGGCCCCCCGGTGCGGCCCCAAGTCGAAGGGCACCAGCAGCTGGAAGCAGCTGTCCACCTCCGTGAGGCAGTCCCGGATGTCCCCGGACATTTCTGCGAAGGTCAAGACGCTGCTCGTCGGTCACGTCCCAGGACAGCACCGCCCCCAAGGGCAGGGCCCACTGTCTGGGGGAGACCCGTCCAGCAGCAGGCGGCTGCCCACAGCTCAGGCCCCCCCGGAGCCCAGCACCCCGGCTGCAGCCGCAGCCCCGGGGCCGTCCTCCCACGTCCTGCTGACCCCGAGGGTCTTCTCTCAGCTGCGACAGCCACTCCTCGGCAGGTCTGTGAGTTCCACGTGGACGTGCAGCCTCAGGCCATGAGGACCCCCCAGCCTGAGCGCACCTGCACCCACGCCCGCGCGGCTCCCCCTCCTCGGCCCAGCGCCCTGCTGTGCGCCTGCCTAGCCCTGGCCAGAGGCAGGGCCCCCTCCCATGCTCACACCCTGGCTGCCAGAAAGCAAATGCTGGGGCTGGCGGGGCTGCAAGAGCAAGCGAGGCCAGGAGACGAGGGGGCAAAGCTCAGACCCAGCCCACAGGCCACCAAAGGACGCACGTCTCGTCTCCCTGCCGGGCAGCACGGGGCGGGCGCGGTCAGCGTGACCACCGAGGGGTGCGGAGGCGTGCAGGCTCACAGGGCCCCCCGGCTGCCCACCAGGAGAGGTTCCTCGGGCCCAGCTGGTCTGTCCGCCTGCCGCCCCGCTCCCCCCGCCGGGTCCGGAGACTCACCCTCCATCTCCCGCACGGCCTGCTCGGACCTTTCCCGGTAGATTCTGTCTAAACGCCTCTGCTTCTCCTCCTCTCGCTTTCTCTCCGCCAGCGTCCTGGCGTTCACATCCTGAAAATCCACCTGAGAAATTGAGACAAAACCCAACTGAATAGAACACGGAAAGAGTCAAAACAGGCCCCAGAGAAGCGGCACCGGCACCGCCCACACCAGGCCTCGGTGTGTCTCCAGTTCAGGGTTCAAAACGCCAGGGACCCGCTGGACGGCAGGCTTAGCCC